TAAATTTTAATTATAGTCACGGGTATAGTCACGGATTTGGCCGTGACTAAGTCGTCGGAGTCAAATAAACTTCGCCGGAAACGGAAACGGGCCTATCGGAGGACTTAAGTCACGGGCCCAGACCGTGACTAACATTAGTCACGGTCATAGTCACGGTCCAGACCGTGACTATTTTTTTTTTAAATTTCCGTGACTAGTCCGTGACTAGACCGTGACTAAACTAGTCACGGACCAAATCCGTGACTAAAATCCGTGACTATAACGCTGTTTTTTTGTAGTGTTAGTAGCGCATTAATTAATTACTACTACGTGACAACGTGTGATCTTCAATTACATGCATGAACTTTAATTTGTACATGAAGCTTGTAAAACATATATTAATATAAAAATGATGAATTCAAAACGTAAAATGTAAACATATATAAAAAAAACGTATGTTGTATACAAATAATATATAAATATATGTAATGGCTATTGTTACGAGTATATAGTTCCGATTTTATTATAAAACTGAAGACGTACTATGTTATGTTATTTTATAAAACATTTAATAAAATCACAATTGATGATGTTGTTGTTGTTATGACATGTATAAGATGTATGTATAGACTAATTAAACTCTTATGCGGTATACATTGACCAAGTGTGTATATATACGAATTCTCTTTTATCTATCTAGTATATAAATATTATTTGATTTTGTCTCTGACGTATTTTATTCAATTCATTACGAACCATGTAGTTGTACTTATTATGGATACTAATAAATTCGAAATACCTTAATATAAGAATATCGTCTAAGAAAATTTGGAACGAGAAGGGAAGAAAGAGAAAAATAGAAAAGAAAATACGAAAAAGGGGGCAAAAAATGAATTTTTATCTCATACTCCCTGAGTCCCATTTTGTAAGATACATTTCCTGTTCACTTGGTCAACACAAATCACTTTAAATCTCTTTCTTTATATATTAAAATTTTATGAAATAAATTTGAATGATTTTTTGCACACTTTGTAGCGGTTTTAATGTAGTTTCTGAATATGTAAATTTTATTTTCTAAAACAAATTTGAGTGTTGACAACGATCAATTTACTTTATTATCGGTCAAACATTGTAAACCGTAAAGTGTCTTACAATTCGGGACGGGGAATATAAATCAGTGAGGTTTCTAATGAATCAAATAAGAATAAAGTTATCATTTTTATTTATGTAGGACATGAAATGAAAGTTAAAGTATCAGTTCTTTTTCCCTTTTATGGGTACCTAATAACTAACTTAAATACGTGTATTTGATTATATTTTAGAGTAATATTATTAGATGTTCCCGTTATGGAAACATCACAAATATAAGAGTGTATCTAAAATTCCATAATTTCAAAGTTCCGGAAAGATCATACGAAATGGGAGCAGTGATTGAAATATTTTAAAATATAGGAAAAATAATTTTTAATAATATCAACTGAAGATATATTCTTCCAAAAAAAAAAAAAAACTGAAGATATATAAAAAATGATACTCCCTATATATGACAAGTTTTCACTAAAAATTTAGGGGAGTTTTGAACTGATTCTGTTTATGCTTCTTTTTTAAAAGCAGAAGCAGAGTCAAATCAGTTTTCAGAAGTTGGTCCCTCCCATCACTACAAAAAAACAACGATTTTGGCACGAATTAGGCACGGAGCTTTGGCACGGATTTGCCAAAATTCATAGGGTATTTGGCACGGATTTGGCAACGGATGCGCCAAAATTCCGTGCCAAAGTCGTTTTGTCACCAGCTATTTGGCACGACGCTGTGCCAAAAATAAGTTACGGTCCGTGCCAAAGTCGCCTAATCCGTGCCAAGTCCGTGCCTATTTCGATATTTTTTTGTAGTGCATCTTCTAAAAAAAACTGATTGTAGGAGTAAATTAGAGCATCATAATCACTTCTGCACTCAGGGCCGTCTTTAGAAGTTTTGGTGCCCCAGACGAAATCTTTTTTTTTCAAAGAAAAGAAAACAGATTTATTTTCTCGTACCTATTAATAGAATCTGTAAAAGATTACATAAGTTCGTTTTTTTAGTTTTCTTGTGGAAACCATTTGCGATGATTACTTCAGACAAATCACGAGAACTTGTTAATTAATGTAATTGTCTCCTAGGTTGTTTCCTTTATTAATAAATAATAAAAGTTGTTTTTTATTTTTATGCCAGGAACCTATTCATCTTTTGTTAACGGCTGACTAAGTATAATATAGAAATAATTACATAAATATGATCAAAATAAAGATGATTTACAATAATATGACTAGTGACTAGAGTAGTAATGAAATCATAGTAATTCATGTTCAAGTTTTGAGCTTAAGTTACCACAACACCACATTGTAGTAATGAATAGTTATATTTATGTAAATATGTTTTATTTTAGTAATATTCTTGTAAAAAACCCTATAATATATGTGTGTGTGAGAGAAAAAAATAAAAATATATATATGAGAAATCTTCCGACCCAGATGGACTGACCGGAACCGCCGTCCGGTCGCCACCATTTGAGCTTCTTTCGGGTTGCATATTTTGATAAACTTTGTGGGTATGTTTTTCATGAAGTTTAGATTATATCCATAAAAATTTACCTTAAAGCTCAATCGGAAAGTCAGTTAAATACGTAGTAAGTTATTAAATAAAATTGTGCCAAAAATGTACATAAAACACAATGTTTTTCAATAATTTATTTCACTGACTTCCCAATTGAATTTTAAGATAAAGTTTTATGAGCATAATATTAACTTCATGAGGAACATCCTAACAAAATTCCATCCAAAAAAATCCACCCAAAAGCATATCAAACGGAGGCGATCGTACAATTGTTCCGATCAACCCTATTACTCCCTGCGTCCCAATTTGTTTTGCAAAGTCAATTTTTTTGGTCAACCAATAATAAAAGTCAATCTTTCCTATGGATAATTAACTCAATTTTTAATAATTAAAACTTACATATTCATAAACTACATTAAAATCTCTTCAAGGTTGTAAAGTCCAAATTAGAATATAATTAAAAATTGACATTCTAATTAAGTGAAAAAAGCGAACCTGTTTGTCCAAGAAAAAGTCAAATTTGCAAATCAATTTGGGATGAAAATAATATAATTGAAGCTTTATTAAAAAATGGTGCCCCATCTAAAATTGGTGCCCTAGGCAAGTGCCTAGGTGCCTTGGCCCTATGGACGGCTCTGTCTACACTTTCACCCAAACACTTTAATTTCTGCTTCTGCTCCCTAAAGAAGTAGAAACAGTTTTAAGAATCAGATCTAAACCCCCCTTAGTCATTTAACTCATCAAAAACTAATATCGATCACAACATCAAATAATTGATTGTATTTTCAAATATCGTTTATTTGATGATTTGATATTGGTCTTTGATTAGATAATTGCTTGTAGACAAGTGACTTCATACTATATTTGTTCAACAATCAAATAGTTGGTATTATTATTGATTTATGAATGATAACTGTTAAAAATTATTTTTCTTAAAATATACGCATTGAGATATCAAATATATATTCACAGTAAATTCTGAACCTTTCAAAATATTAAATGATCGGGAGTTATATATTCCAAAACTGGTCGAACTGAAAAAGGAAAATTAATGATTTTCATTTCTCAGAAAAAGAGAATTGTTAATGCGTGTCCAAAAGTGACCAAAATACTTTACGTAGTATAAGAGAAATTTGTTGATTTAGTCCCGTAACTTATAGCTATACCCGATATTGGTCCTGTAACTTTATTAACTTGCAGATTACATCCCGTAACTAATAAGTTGGTGCAATTTTGGTCCTTCTCTGCCGGAACTTACCAATTTCGCCGGAAAAAGACACATCACCTGCCACATGGTACATTATTTGGAATTCATTTGCTGACTCAATGTTGGCCCTTAGCTAGAGTTAAAAAATTATTTCTTCTTGGTGGCAGCAGGAGCATTTTGAATGAAGTTTAAAGCTTTCTGGATTCATGTTTTAAGAATAAAGCATTTCAAATGTTACATCATCTTCACTTCTCACATCTTTAACATGAGAAAGACTAGGAGCAAAAACACTAGCCCCACAACAACTATGAGGAGCCTTATATTTTTAGTCTTCAACTTTACAACCTCTTCCTCTTTTGAATTGAGTCTTCTAACCAATCCTGGAATTATCATCATTCAACGATGGCACATAGGTGGGTCCGCCCATTCAAAAAATCTGCAACCTTCTGTTTGTATCATAACAAGATGAAGCTTAACTTACTTTTTACTGCTTTGAACACAAAAATACATTATCAAATGCCCCCAACAAATAGAAGATGGTAATTTTATTAGTAGAACCTAGCTTAAAATATAAAATACATTTTAATTTTCAAACAAATTTATTATTCAAATGCTATTCTTAAATTTCTAGTTTATTTAGTAAAAAAAGAAGCAAACAATGTAAATTAAAAAACTGAACTTCTTACTCTGCTTCTAGCGCACACACGAAACCTCCTTCCAGGATCGTTATCAGTCCAAGAAGATAGAAGAGAAACCTTTTTACCACAATCACACTCCATAAACTTTTGTCTGATCGAGAGCCGTTACTAGCAAATTTGAAGAATAACTCACTCTCTCGACTTAGTTCAGGAGAAATCTTCAGGTAGAGTTATATGTTCTTCCCCCCTTTTGCTGATCCGATAATAGGCTTGGTATGGTTGTGCACGCACTCAGCGAAGAGCTTTCGTACTCTGGTTTTTTACTCCAGCTAAGGGCCAATATTGAGTCAGCAAATGAGTTCCAAATAATATACCATGTGGCAGGTGATGTGTCTTTTTCCGGCGAAATTGATAAGTTCCGGCAGAAAAGGACCAAAATTGCACCAACTTATTAGTTACGGGATGTAAATTGCAAGCTTATAAAGTTACAGGACCAATATCGGATATAGCTATAAGTTATGGGACTGAATCAACAAATTTCCCCGTAGTATAATGATGTTTGTTTGATCCTTTGTTACTTGAGTAGCCTATTTGACATTCCAACACGATTGCAGTGTGAAAAAGTAGAGTAAAATTTTTCGAATATAGAAATATGTCAAATAATTAAGAACTTGCCAAAGAAAATATCTGGCTACTATAATTATTTATTCTTATTTATGCTATTTCAAACTTGTAATGATCTGCGCACTTCCCCTTTTCCCAGCAAAACTTTTTTTTTGTATAATAAATTAAATACCGATTAACAAATAACTAGTATTATCCTTATTATAATAATAATTATTATTGGTATTGTAATTGTGATAGGGGTTGCAGATGGGTGAGAAGAGGGGTTCTTCGTCAGTGAAGAAGGCGGGGCTGTTGGCGTGGGTGAGGAATCGGTCGGCGAAGGTGAAGATTTTGTTGGGGGTGGCGGCGGCGTTGGCGGCTCTGGTGGCTCTCAGGCTCGCCGTCAAGGACCGGAACCACTTCTTCGTCGCCGCAGAAGCCATCCACTTCGCCGGAATATTGGTCTTGATTTACAAACTTATCCGCAAGAAGACCTGCTCTGGTAAGTGGTAACCCCCAAATATATATACACTGATTTTGAATATATTTATGGAGGACTGCTCAGGTCCAACCGGAGGGACGGGAGCAACCGTCCGAACTTCACTGTTTGGGGCGGTTCCCGGTGGAATTTTTCGATAACATTTTTTGAGTATGTTCCTCATCAAGTCTAGTTTGTCCATACCAAATTTCAGCTCAAAATTCGACCGGGAAGGCAGTCAAATAAATTCTTGAAACTTACTGCACTTTATATATGCGCAGAATGTGCAGTAAGCTTCAAGAATTTATTTGACTGCCTTCCCGGTCGAATTTTGAGCTGAAATTTGGTATGGACAAACTAGACTTGATGAGTTACATACTCAAAAAATTTCATCGAAAAATTCCACCTGGAACCGCCCCAAACAGTGAAGTTCGGGCGAGTCCAACAAATTAAACTCGCCTTTCAGTGGACTTGAGAATAATCGTACGATTTTGTAGTAAAATTGGACAAGAATAATTTCTAACTTTGTCAAAAACTTTGTCACCTTCTAATTAAATAATGTGTAGGTCTGTTTTTCTCACCTTTTTACACAATTGTAAATCATACTCCGTACATTATTATTATTATTATTATTATTATTCATGTTTACTACGGATTATTATTTGAATACAATTTTTAAAATTATTCAGTACACATCATGAATTTAAATTAGGGCCACGAGGCCCGCTGAGACCGCAATATTGTGATTGCGTGTGTCACCGGCCACCGCAATCGTGTTGGGCCCCAATGACGGGTTTTTTGAATTCACAACGCAAGCACATCCGGTCGCATCCAGGCCAACAGCATTGGGACCACAACGCTAATCCATTTTTTCCTTATTTCGTTCTGAAGAAAAATTTATTCACACTGCATCGGCCGCAATATGCATTGTAGCGCGGCAACCACAGTTACCACAACCACAATCGCGACAATGACCACAATTTAAAACTGTGGTACAACTATGCAAAATGTACTGAAAATGGATAATTAGAACAAAAATAACCCCTTTCTCCCTCACATATGAAAAATTGTTTTGAAAATGTTTTTTCATAAAAAAAGGCTACTATATTTTTGTAAGAAATTCAGGAGATAAAGAGATTAAAAAACAAGGCTACTATCCAAAACATAATTTTGTTGTCGACCAATTCAGTTTCTAAAATACATGTATAAATTAAGCATGACAAGCAGGAGCGTAGCTAGAAGTAAGATTTGGGTTGTGCCGGTACAAGGAAATTTTACAGATAAATTTTTACACGTAAATTTTTATATTAAAAATATCAGCAATTTTAAAATTTGGACTGGACCATGGCCCGGTTGGCCACCCCTCCACCTCTGCCCCTTATGACAAGGTCGTGGTTGTTGTAGCATGCACTCACCTCCGTTGGTATGGTTTGAACTAATATGATATGGTTTTTTTAAGTCTGCTCTGGTTTACACCTTTTCAGTCTAGTGTAGACTAAACCAATTATAAATTTCCATAGGCTATGTCTGGTTATGTTGTCGCCGGGTGGACCTTGGAGAGATTTGAGTCTCTCCCAGCTATGGAAGTCAAGTAGGATGCTCTACCAAATTTAACAACTGGATCAAAAAATTATTAGAAATTACTTTAAATAAGAATAAAATATAGACAAACTGCATAAGTAGGACTATTCATATTTTATTTCCAAAATATGACTTATTTGATCATATTAAAAGTATCAAACTATCCCAATTAGAAGTGAAGAAATTGTAGTAGGAAGAAAATAATACTAGTCATATTTTTGCATTTTATGTATGCTTTAATCTTATTTATAGTGAATTAACTAAAAAATTAACCGTCTAAATGTATGAACCATGTTAAACACAAATTTTGATGCACCGGGGCGTAGCGCCGTAGCTCACTTTAGAAGATATATCGAGTTCAACTCCAAGTAACGGCTTGTACTGGAACCTCATTCTCTTTTCACCAATATGTGATAAAAGTTTAATTTACATTCTCCTATAACATTAGCTAATTTTTTTCTGACTTGTCCATATGAATGAGGATCTCATTCTACCTTTGAGGGAGAGGAAGAATAGAAAATTTTATGGAGCACTCCACTCCACCATAGAGTTCGATATTTTGTGGTTTTAGTGTAGTCATGATAGTCGTTGACTTAATTAATACACTTATCGCCAAAAGTTTAATTATTCACCATTTTTTACACCGGGGGATGATCTATTATGTAACAACCAAAGGGTATTTATTATTAGACTCAAGACGTGCATATATAGCTCCGCACGCTGGCTAAGCGGTCCCGCCCAGCTGGTCGCCGACTCATTCTCCTTTATGGGAGGTCTCGGGTTCGAAGCTCAATGGAGTTAGTTTTCAGGCTCTCCCAGCCAGGCCGGACCCATGAAATTCATCTTGCAGGGGCCATAATTTAATAGTTTTGCTAAGTGTACACATTTTGTGTACACAAAATGTGTACACCAAGCATTTTTCATAATTTAAACAAAAAAGTTCTAGGCACTGGCAAAAATCATATTTCATGTATATATATACTTCGTACTAAAAACAAATCTTGCAGGGGCAGTGACCCCCTGAATCTCTACTACAGTTCAGTTCGCTCCTTCCCCTAGCCCCCTCCCCAGATGCCACCTGAAGTAAAAGAGGAAAAAAAAAAAGTTAAAACAAAAAACCTCAGCTCGCACGCCTCTTTGTTATACTGAAATGGTACGAGGCTCCATAAAATTTTGAGGGCTGTCTTTGGTTAAGGGTAAATATGTACGTAGCATATATTAAGTGGCCGAACACAAAAACTAATTCAGGTGTGCTAATGTGATCTAATGAGAGAAATGGAAGAATTTCATACCTTAAATTTGAGAATTGTGCATTATGTGTAATGAGAAAATAAATAAATAAATAAATCCTTTTTATGTCACTTCAAGTTGTACATTTTTCGAATTCTATAGTTACATGAACTTGACTCAAGTCATCAAGTAGCTCATAATGCTACTTTTGCATGTGCACTATTCGAATCTCTTGCATGAGTTGCATCTCTAGCTAGGTTGAACTTTATAAAGATTAAATCATCTAATCTCAAATTGAATGCATACATTGATACACATTTTTGTGTACATCCCATCCTCTTACCTCATCGCAGGTGAGAGAGCCTTTGTGGTATTGATGAGATATTGTTGTTGTTGTTGTGAGTTTTGGAATTCTAAAATAAGATCGCAAAATAAGACTAATATGTTTTTCTTCCCGAAATAGGAGACAGTACTGTAATGATTAAAAATTACAGTTATGATTGAAAAATATTGTCATTAATGATAGTAATTACTTTCATGTTTAATGTTTAATAGTTAATACTACAACTACTTGGCAGTAATGACTACAAGTCTACAAGATAACAGTAGATATTGTCATGCTACTCTTATTTCGGGAAGAAACACACAACAGTTCTAGTTTCGAATTCTCAAACTTGTTTACTCTTATTTCAAGAACTTTCCTTTACAAAATTTGTGATCACACATGGTAATTTCTTTGTTGATCTAACTTCTGCCATTGTATTTATTAGGGTTGTCCCTCAAGTCTCAGGAGCTCACAGCTCTATTTTTAGGTATAAGATTGTACCTCAGCTTTATTATGGAAGCTGACATACACACCATGCTAGATTTCGTCACACTTGTCTCAACTTTGTGGGTTATATACATGATAAGATTTAAGTTGAAGTATACGTACATGGCGGAGCTAGACAAAACACCCATATCCTACATAGTACGTAAGCATTTTACTTTTTATATTAAAAAAATCCCCTATATGGCTATATATTATCATTATTTCGATTGATTCCATGCTTGAATATTTGGGCCATTCTTGCTAGAGTTATACACACAATGTATATTTGCATTGTATTGTCTGTTATGTGAAGTTTTTATTTCATACTAGTTGATAGCTATCTTTGTGTTTGTGTAAGCAATAAGAGTTAATCGAAACTCATTTTCGAAACATTAGGTATAGGGTAGTATTTGTGTTTACATGGCCACATGGGGTTCGTATTTTATTTTAAGATAATAGAGAAAATACTACGAAGTACTCCATATATTATAAGGGTTTGTGTTAGAAAATAAAAGTGAAGTTTAACAAAAAAAAAGTATTGGTACTTTTTGATGCATTAATTAGGTAAACTATTATATAATTAATGGAATACATTTGGAAATAATGACAAGAATATTACCCATGAGGTTTCAATAGACAAAAACATGACCATTTTACACAAAGACATAAAAGTGACCATTTAAATTAAAAAAGAATTACTTGCTCATCAGCTGGCCTACCAGTGCCATACCGTCGATCTTTCTCTACGCACCATATTCTTGTCCATCTGCATCGCCAAGCCGCCAAACTGCCTCCGTCTTCAAGCTCTGCCCGGATCGGCCAACCTAGCCGCCTCCATCTTCAAGCTCCATCCTCCATCTTCAAGCTCGGTCTAGATCCACCAGTCAATCCGCCTCCATCTTCAAGGTCCATCCTCCGTCTTCAAGCTCCGTCCAGATCCGCTAGCCTAGCCGCCTCCATCTTCAAGCTCCATCCTCAGTCTAGCTCCGTCCAGATCCTCCAGCCAAGCAGCCTCCATCTTCAATCTCTGTCCTCCATCTTCAAGCTCTGCCCAGATCCGCCAGCCACCGCCAGCGCAGGTTCATACCTCGTCGCACTCTGCCATTGCAAGTCCGCCGCCCACTGCCATTGCAAGTCCGTCGTCGGCCTTCTATTCCTCTCCTTCTGTCTCGCATTAGAGGTGTCGTTAGATGGTCAGATCTGGTACCGCTAGCTAGGGTCTGAGGCAAGGTGGGGGTCATGGTTGTGGTGAATGGTGTTTAGCTGCTGACGACCGAGGTGTGGTTGGATCTGACGGCTAGGATTCTACTATTGGGCTATGAGGGCAGAACAACAAATTGTACAGAGGCTGAGCCTTGTAGGGGTGTTGGGAGGCTGAGGAGGGACATTAACGAGGTGGCGGCGGCCGGAGTAACTTCTGACGGGTGGTGTCACCGGAAAATTTAATGTCATTGGACTGTGACAACGTCACTATACTGGCGTCACTGTGGCCGGCGACGGTCTTCAGCAGACGGCGGTAACCGGCGGGAGGAGGTTGTGGATGTCAATGTATATGTGTCACTGCAGGGTGTTACTGTAGCTCGTTACTGTAGTTACTACATACTACTCACATTTTTGGAATTCAAAAAGAAGGTCACTTTTGTGTCAATGGTCAATTTATTAGTAATACTCAAGTAAAAACCCCACTTTTAAGACATATCCACTTATACAACCGCTATATATTACATTGTCAACTCCTTGCTTATACATTGAAGTCATGGTTCCATCCGTTGTTGGTGTCATAACCATAAATTTAGATCACATGTTTGACATAAAATTAATATAATGTCAAATTAATTAGCATTATATAATGCAGTTCATATATAAAATGTGTATTATTCATTTTCACAGATTGCGCCTTCAGCAGTTTTAGCTGTGTTTGTCCATCCATACACTGTTATTAATTTTAAAATCCATAGAATGGCATGGGCATTTTGTGTGTACTTGGAATCTGTCACGGTGCTGCCCCAGCTTCGCATGATGCAAAAAGCTAAGGTCCATTATTTAAGCTTGTTGAATTGTATTTTCTTTTTATTTTTGGTGTATATTATCTAATTAAAAGTGTTGTTGTTTATCAGCTTATTGAACCGTTTACAGCCCATTATGTGTTTGCTTTGGGTGTGGCAAGATTTCTTGAATGTGCTCATTGGATCATTCAGGTTGATATTGTACCGTATTTCACGCATTTTATGTATAGTCCAACTGAATAAAAAACAACATCCAAGCCTTAGTCCCAAAAGATATTGGGGTTGGCTAATAACATGAATCGATACATGATATCACCACCAAAAGGAAAAGAAAGAAAATAAAGATAAAAAAGATAAGCTATTATGAAAAAGATAATATAAAAAGAGATGAATATACCTAAAAAAAATACAAAATAAACAGGATAAAAATAATGTTTATATATATAAGGATAAAAGGAATAAAATTGAGGGGAAAAGGTAATACGAGATAACTCCTCCACATGAATACCCGCCCTCCATGTTACTCTCTCCAAAAGGAAAAGAAAGAAAATAAAGATTAAAAAAATAAGCTAATATAAAAAGATAATATAAAACGAGATGAGTATAACTAAAAATGATAAAATAAAAAGGACAAAAATAATGTTTATATATATGAGGATAAAAGAATAAAAAAAAACAAGAAGAAAAAAAATGAGGGGAAAAAATAATACGAGATCAATCCTCCACATGAATACCCGCTCTCCACCTTGCTCTCTCCAAAGCCATACCCTCATCCAACCCAAGAAGAAGCATATCACTTCGGACTCCCCTAACCCACGTCTGTTTGGGTCTTCCTCTCCTTCTCTTCCCTGCCTCTTCTCCACACATCTCAACACGTGTGACAGGTGCATCACTCGGTCTTCTACGCACATGACCAAACCACCGTAGGGGAGACTCCCGCATCTTGTCTTCAATAGGTGCTACTCCCACCCTTTGTCTGATTGTCTCATTTCGCACGTGATCCTTCCTAGTATGCCCACACATCCAACGCAATATGCGCATCTCTGTCACACTCATCTTTTGAATGTGACATTGTTTCACCGCCCAACACTCTACGCCATACAGCAATGCAGGCCTAATTGTTGTCTTATAAAATTTACCCTTCAGTCTAGTGGGCATACCTCTATCACATAGAAATCCTGACGCACTCTTCCACTTCATCCACCCTGTTTTGATTCTATGGGATACATCTCCATCTAGCTCACCGTCCTTTTGAATTATGGAGCTCAAGTAACGGAGCATATCACTGACCGGTATCTCCTTACCATCTAGAGTAATTCCACTATTATCACTGCTTCTACCTCCACCAAACTTGCACTCCGTGTACTTTGTCTTGCTCCAACTAAGTCTGAAACCTTTGTTCTCCAATGTCTGTCGTCGTACTTCCAACTTTGCTTTAAGACCTGATTGCGTCTCATCAATCAAAACAATATCATTGGCAAACATCATGCACCACGGTATTTCGCCTTGAATTGACTTCGTAAGTTCATCCATGACTATGACAAATAAGAAAGGGCTCAGAGCTGATCCTTGGTGCACTCCAATAGTAATAGGGAACTCCGCAATCCTCCCTACACTATTAAGGACACTTGTAGTACAGTCCTCATACATATCTATGATAATGCTGATATACTTGCATGATATGCCTTTTCTAGTTAAGGCCCACCATAGAACTTCTCGAGGTACCCTATCATAAGCCTTTTCTAAGTCAATGAACACCAAATGCAGATCCTTGTGAGCGTCTTTATACTTCTCCATAAGTTGTCGAAGAAGGTGAATGGCCTCAATTGTTGAGCGATCAGGCATAAAACCGAATTGATTCTCTGAAATCTTCACAGTTCTTCGAAGTCTTTGCTCAATCACTCGCTCCCAAAGTTTCATGGTGTGACTCATGAGCTTAATCCCTTGATAAATTGGCACAATCTTGTACATCACCTTTATTCTTGAATAAGGGGATAAGACTATAAGAGTACTCTTCCTCCAACTCGTTGGCATCTTGTTGTTTCTCCAAATCATGTTGAAGAAACTTGTTAACCACGCGATGCCTCTCTCTCCAAAACTTCTCAAAGCCTCGATGGTATGCCATCTGGACCCACTGCTTTCTTCTACCCCATCTTCCTCAGAGCCTCTTTAACTTCCGTTGTTTGGATCCTTCTCACAAAATCACGATTTACCATACAAACCGATATGGTCAAATCACCGATATCTTGCGTTTTCTTCCCGTTGAATAGTGTATCAAAGTATGACCTCACCTCTCTTTTATCTCTCTGTCCTTCATTAGTACCCGTTGATCGACATCCTTCACACACTTAACTTTTCCGATATCTTGAGTCATACGGTCATGAAGACGAGCAAGTCTGTAAATATCTTTTTCTCCTTCCTTAGAGTCCAATTTTGCATACAATTCTTTGTTCACTTTTCATCTTGCTTCCTTTACAGCTTTCTTTGCACTTCTTCTAGCCTCCTTGTACTCCTCTATGTTCCATTCGCTCCGACTTTTGCCCAATTTCTTATAGCATTCCCTTTTGATCCTTATTGCTTGTTTTACCTCATCATTCCACCAAGACGTGTCCTTTTTTGGTGGCAGACATCCCTTAGATTCTCCAAGTATCTCTTTCGCCACTTTGTTATAGATGGACTCCATTGGTAACCACACATCATCCACACGTGCGTCATTATCAATGGACCATACATCTTCCTCCAACATTTTCTGTGCAAAAGTTTGTTGGAGATTCCCCTCGAGCCTCCACCACTTTATCTTTGGCTCCCCTTGTACCTTAACCCTCCTTCTCTTTTTACCTTGAAAATCAAGCACAAGCATCCTATGTTGAGTGACAACACTCTCACTTGGGATAACCTTACAATCAGTGTAGTTAGTTCTCCAAGTCGTTCGTACTAAAAAGTAGTCAATTTGGGTACTATTAGCTCCACTTCTATAGGTCACAAGGTGAGAGTCTCTTTTCTTGAACCAAATGTTCATCACAGCCAACTCATATGTCGAGGCAAAATCCAGAATGTTCTTCCCTGCTTCATTTCTAGTGCTAAAACCATGTCCGCCATGGATACTCTCAAAACCATCACGACTTGGGCCCACATGCCCGTTGAGGTCGCCTCCTATGGCCAGCTTCTCTCCCCTTGGCACTCATCGCACCACCTCTTCAAGATCCTCCCAAAATTGTCGAGTGATAGATGCATCGAATCCCACTTGTAGTGCATAAGCACTTACTACTGACACGATCTCATCTCCTATAAGCAACTTAATGCTCATGATGCAGTCGTTCTTCCTGAAGACTTCCACCACACCCTCAACATAATCATGTGTCACCATAATGCCTACTCCATTTCTGTTCCTTTCTCTCTCCGAATACCACAACTTAAAACCTCCGGGATTAATATCACGTGCCTTTTCTCCAACCCACTTATTTTCTTGCATGCACATTATGCTGACATTCCTCCTTTTCATAACCTCAGCTATCTCAGATGATCTTCCCGTAAGAGAGCCAACATTACATGTCCCAAAATGCAGTCTAGCACCCTGCCTTCTCTTCTTCACACCACATCGACTCCCACCATGCCCTTGCATATTTGACACCATCCCCGGGCATTGGAGTGACGCGACGCTTCCGGGCTTAGGGAGATACTACCATTACAGAAAAATTAAACTAACAAATAAGTGCTATCGAGCATGTATGACTTATATAATTAAATTAAAGCTAATGTTGTAAAGGTGATTTAATGTGTTAAATATATAGTCATGTATTGAATGTTTTTGTAGGTGTTTTTTTGCATGTAACATAATTCGAGAACTTAGTTTGTTTCAAGGTCTTCAACAACATAATAGATTTTAGTTGGACATGTATATGTACATAAATGTCATAATCTCCATAAAAACCAGCATATTAACTCATAGAATCTACGATTCTCATTGTTTGGGTTCAGGAGCATTTCACTGGGTCATGGCCCCTAGCTTTTAGGAGCATTTTTAGTGATAGAGCACTCCCACTACTCCTGAGAAAAATTATGATGTAAATATGTATGTATAAATATTTATGATCTATATAAACAAAGTGTGCTGGTATGGCCCCCGCTTCATAATTTTTTCAAGCCCCCGCCTTCCTAACATTATATTTGTAGTTCTGCCAGACCGCCATTAGTTGTGTGGGAGGGTAAAATGTACCAACAATACCTTAGCTATCGATATTGATGCACTTTGATATTTAAACTATTAAATGACACAAATCACTATCATTAATACATTTAAGTGTTTCAAATGGTGTACCATTCATTTCAAGTTTTAGCTAAGGAGCTCTATATCAAACACCACATGTAAATGTTTTTAGTTCAATATCTATCTAATCTTTTCATTTTACCTTTGCAATGCTTATTTGTAGATATACGAGTCTGGTGGGAGTTACTTGTATTTAGTCGGAAGTGGATACCTTTGGGTACCCGCTATATATGTAGCAGAAATGGTTCAAACGTTCATTTTGGCAGATTTTTGCTATTATTATGTCAAAAGGTAAGCTAATCACCTCCCCTCGTTTTATCCATTTGAAATTCTAACTTATCTTTGTGTTTTGCTAGTTCAATATTTTATTAAAATACATATGTATATTGGTGATGCAGTGTTGTAAGCGGAAAACTTCTCGTCACCCTCCAATCACCAGTCTAAGATTGTACGTGATAATATCTTAGAGTTATATATGTTGGCAATTGTAACGTTTGTTCATGTTCTATTTATACATGATTATTCAATATAGTTTGTGTTTCTTTTGGGTGTAGCAAAAACATGTACCTGGTTTTATTGAAATGGAATATGATAGATATTCTTACATAAAATAACACACAACAAACAAAACTGGTAAGCATTGTTGCAATTCTCCAAGGGAAAGTTTCGTGTGAATTGTATGTTTAACCTCTTATGGTTATGGAAATTGGGGCTGATTTTTGTCATTGATTAAAGTGTTTGCGTTTTTTTGATATGAAGCAGCTGTCAGTCCACACAATTTTTTACACGATTTTCATTATATGTAATCTGAAATAGGTCTTTCTTTGCTTTAGTAACGAGATAAGGTTTCGTACATCTGATCCCCCTTACCCTATCGTTGGTAAGAGCCTTTGTGATGCTGGTGTAATGAACATACAAGCCTTATTCTGAATATTCTCAAAAGATCTTGTGGTCGACTAACATGAACCAATCCATGATATCAGAGTAACAAATTTAAGAAAGATAAGAAGAACTGCTTGATTATCTTTTCTTTGGCTGCTTGGAGAAATGAATGGATTAATTAGTACGGAGTATTTATTTGATGCTTTGACTATTATAATAAAATCACAATACATACAAAAGGCTGATTATATCAATGTTACTGTTTGGTCATCATCATCATCATCATTATATAACAAAATGAAAATGAATCTAGTAAATGAAGTTGTCACCAAAAGAGAGTTACTGTAAATCTATGATTGTACGAAGCGTGAGAAATCTCCTTATTGAAAATAACATTACGATAATACAATGCCGAAATACTTTGTAAAAAACTTTGAGAAGTAAAACACGTAAAATTTTATTTTGCTGAAAAAGTTTAGTTATTAGCATCTCATGGCCTATTGTAGGAGCTAAACTAGGTAAAATTTTACAATGAGAATGATTCATTCACCAAAGTTGTAGGAAAGGAAGTATGCTATCCATCGAAACTTGAATCACCTATTTGAATCATCGAGTGAGAGGTCATCATGATACCTCACCAGCAGCATCTGACTTTATCAGATGATTGGGTCTTGATACTTTCATATTCTGGCTATGACGTCTTCACAACTTTTGTAGCTTATTGAGTTATAGTTCACATGAAATTAATGGAGTCAATTAGAGTTTTGTACAATAAGTTATACTTGAATTATGGGCATGACATCACCCTTTTGGTCCAGAAAACCGTTCATCGCAATAGTCTGTGCTCTATATCTCATTCAAATGATATTTTCTTCAACAAATGCTTATAAACACTTATGTAAAATACAAGTAACTATAACAGCTAGCAAAGCCCCCCACATTTCTTTGTAATGATGCACAATTAGAGAAAAGTTGAATCATGTGAATTAAGTTTTCAATAAGATGATAAAAATTAGATATAAAATCTTTAATTTTTCTCAGGCCAAAACCTTTTCCTATTACTTATGATAAATACATTTGATATTAAGATAAATATTTAAAATCATGATGGGTTTATTTTGTGACAATTTAGGCAATGTGTGACATACATTGATTGCTTTTTATGGGTTCACAACTTGTTTTTTAGAAGACTATTCTAGGAGAACATGAGTTTTCTTTCTTTTTTGTTTTTTCTTTGTTTTTAGTTTTTTTGTATATAGACTCATGTGTTGAGACTCCTTAATTATTTTTTTGGTTTGTCAAAAATGAGGATAATCCAACAATATAGAGTGAATTGAATTTGGGAGGAAACTTTTCTTTTGAATTTGCACTTTGCGCACACTTTTATGAATTTGGAAAATTGTCACAACTTTGGGTGAAAGAGACGGTTTCAAGAGTAAGAATTACTTTAATTAATCTAATTTTTTGTGCACATAAAGGAGGATTTCTTATGACTAAAAGGAAAATATCAAAATTTTCTCAATCTAAATTTCAACTTTGACTAAAAGGAAATATATCTCAATCAAACCCTTAAAAGAGAGAATATCAAAATTTTTAACCTTCTTAGAAAAACATTGCAAAGGGGAAATATATCAACTAATCCATTGTCCTCAATGTAGCTTGGAGAATGCCATGGAGGATGAAGTCTTCAATAGTGAAGTTGAGATACTTTTTTTTAATGTTTTTATGTTTTTTTTTGTGGGTTGCCTCCCAATTACCATATAGTTTAATGTCATAGGCCCAACAAACGTACCTCTCTTTATAGTGGAGGGTGTATGACTTTTCTCCGGTAGAATCTGATTGTTGTGCTTCCTTTCATTGGGTAGAGCTGTGGGAGACCTTCGTTGTATGCCGGTGTGATCTCAAGTACGTCTTCATATGCATCCTACTTTTTATTTGCTCCCTGTCATCTTTATCGATGCGTTCTAGCATAAAGAACTCTTGCGATCTTAACCAAATAAGAAAATGATTATACCTCCTCTAGTGACTTAAGAATGGTGTTTCGAGAATGACGGGGGTCGGCCCTTCCTCCATATATGTCAAATAAAACAAATTAAGTCGGTGGAGATAGTTTTCCAACTACGTACATTATCACGGTAGGGATTGCAATATATTAGCGTAAGTTTTGTCATTATTTTTTACTGAAGGACGGGAGTATATTTGCTGAGATTCTGAATATAAGATTTTGCAAATTGACTCAAGATATTGAGTGTTTGACAGCAAGAGACCGCCCTCTGATCTTGGATACACTATATTCACACACCGCTTTATGTGTGTGTTGTACATTCCAAGAAAACTTTTTTTGTCGGGTTACAAACAATATCCTTTGAAAACTAACGTAAAATGTGTTAATTAACCGACGTTATATGTTCAAATTGTAGTAGTGATCTTTTTAATGAATTGAATGATCCATCAATTGTAGTACCATGGATGTTCGTTGAAGTTTCTTCTTCACCATTTCAAGTTTATTAAATAGGGGCAATGGCATAAGATTCACTGTTGCCCCTAAGTCACGTACGGAATTTGTAGAAGCAAACTTCTCAATGGCACAGGAGATGGTAAAACTCTCAGGATCTTTGTGTGTAGCGGGTAACTTCTTTTGAATTCTTGAACTAGTTTCTTCATTGAGGTTGATTGAAGTTACCTACTCAAGTTTTTTCCTCCCCGATATGAATTCTTTTGAGAATTTTTTTAAAATGAAGGAATTTTCACAATGGCATCGACAAAAGTGATGTTTACAGAAATTTCCTTAAAGTAGTTCTAGATTTTTTTTTTAACTTTTGTTTGTCAGGGTCTCTTGTTAGCCTTTGAGGAAATGGAGTACGAGGTCTTATGGTGATACCTTCGGAAGTTGTGCATGGAGAATTCCTTAGGTTTGCCGGCACTACGATTGTTCATCTTCTCCCGTCATAAAAGTGATCGCCGTCACATCTTTAGTAGGATTTGTCTCGGTGGCACTTCACAATCTTCCCCATTCAATAGAATTTCTTATTGGAGTAAGTTGAGAAATTTGTACCTCAAGATCGTGAATGGAGCTCATTGTATATAGCTCAAGGTTGTCCATCTGTTGATTTAGCTTCTTGTTTTGATCTTCAACTCGAAGATCAAACTTAGTAAATTGGAAAAGGAGGTTCCCAACAAAGGCTTCAACTTGGTTGTGGTTGACTTCATTTTGAGCCTTTATGCAATCAACATTTTTTGTGAGGATTTTCACCATTTCCTCCATCATTGTTTCTCCTTAATTATGATTTTGAATTGTTGCTTTGATTCCATCGTTGTTGATTATTATTAGAAATAAGTGTTGCTTTTTTGGTTCTCATTCCTTTAACGATTGGGAATTATTACCTTTTGTTTCTGCAGCCTTCTCCACATTGGTAACATGTTTGACTCATTCGTTTGGCAAGGCCATTTGAATTGAAAGTTGTAGGTTGTGTTTCATGGTTTGTTGAAAAATAGCAAACCACTATCTAGCTCGATCATGAGTTATGGAGATTTTATTTACACCGGCAACCTTGATATCTTCTCCTTAAAATTGGGGATTTGCGACAATAGATCCATGAGTTCTAAATGCGTCGACTTCATTCTTGTTTTCAATATCCATTATGGCTTGACAAGAGGGATTCACCCCATTATAAAATGTGTCGATTTGGAGTTCAAGAGAGATTCAGTGATAGGGACACTCCCGCAACATTGACTTAAACACTTCCATGCGCCTTGAAGTAATTCTCCAACCTGTTGTTTGAAATTGAAGATTTGTTGTCTCAACTCACGTGCCATTATTGGTGTATAATATTTGGAGAGGAAAGTGTTGTAAATATATTCCCATGTTGTGTAGATCGTCGATGGTTGTTCAATAAACCACCCTCTTGAGTGGATTCTCCCCCGGGTAAGCATGGAATTGAGCCCGACATACGATGATCACTAAGACTTTGATCACTATAACTTTGGTCACCGTAACATTGGTCACTGTAGCGCTATCTTTGTCACTTTGTCAATGTAGCACTGGATGTAGTCTCCTGTTAGGATGTTTTTACTTGAACTGAAAGTTGCTTATCTAATCTGTTTAAGTCTTGTCCGGTTTAGTAAATGTCTGGTCCCTGTGTATTTTATTATTATGGAAGTTTGGTCAGGTCTAGTATAGTCTGATATGTGTAAGTCAGGTCTGGTCTGGTATGAGACTGAAAATAGTCCAAGTAAAAACATCTCTTATGCATTTTAATCACATTTTTAAAAACTTAACAAAAGGTCCCTTTTTATTCATTAATTAATTTCTTTTTTGAAATATTCATTAATTTATTTTTTTGTAATATCTTGTCCTAACTCCTAACTCCTGAGTCCTAACTAGACTTGTACAAAACCGGCCCGGCCCGCCCAGCCCGCACAAATGGGCGGGCTTGGGCATATATATTTACCCATCGGCCCGGCCCGAGCCCGGCCCGCAATAACATATGGGCGGGCTTGGGTTAGGGTGTAGGCCCGTTCGGGCCGATAAGCCCGGCCCGCTACATTTAGTGTGTGTGTATATATATACACACTAATTTATTTATTTATTTATGTATATATAGACACACTAATTTTTTAAATTAGTGTGTATATATATACACACACACACTAATTTATTTATTTATTTACATGTACACATGTATATTTATATTTACTAATATAATTTACCTTTATACATATTTATAGTTTATTATATGTAAATTTAAGTTTTTAGTTCTTAACAACTAGCCCAACTAATATAGTATCTATTTTTGTACTTAAAGATATTACTTTTTGCTTGAAATTTAA